TTATTCATTAATCATATTTGTGTTTGTATGACTACCACAGAAGGTAAAGCCTTAAAGGACAGTCAGCTCCACATTTTGTTTTGAACATTTCAAGACATGATTTTGACCAAAGAACACTAATAATGCACACAATCCAGTATGTGCAACCCATATAAGTACCTTCATAATCACTAAATAGCAATGAATTATTAAGACTGTTGAAACTAATGTGACTAATGGAAATAGTTTGTTGTCATAAAATGAAATGGAAAAGAAGATAAGAGTTATTGGTTTGTGCTGTGTACAATGCACAGAGGAAATATGTTGCATACTGCGTACAGAGCTCCAGCAGCCCTGTATATTGTGAACGAGCCACTGTAAATACAGTGTTTCTACAAACGAGATATTGTAGAGTTAACTATTAGTGCTTTCACAAAATGTTTTCCCAATAATTATTTTTAATAAAAAGTCAACGGTAAAGTACAAGTGAATAAAGAACAGCTTCAGAGATCACTTTACTGTAATGCAGCCTTTTAAACCAGGAATACAAAACACTTAAGATATCACAGATCAATATAATGTTGATACACTGCCAAGCGACTTTGGTATGAGTTTAAATGTGCAGTTCCTCTTCCTGCCCCCAGATCTGACTCTATGATGAAAAAGTGACCAACACACAATAAACCAGCATTTAGTAAAAGCCATCATGGACACACCAAAAGACTGTGCTTCTGAGATGAGCTTTGACAGAACTGTTATGTATCGCCAGCTTTAATGGGCTCTCATGTCCCGGAGATTCATCAGGCAGAGCAGGTGCCTGCAGAAACACAGCCTTGGCGTTTTGCATCCCGGCATCTAATTACTTTGCTGAGAGCATGGCAAGGCAGAGACAGAGCAATGTTCAATACGCCTCACTCTGCCATTTTGTGATGCTTATTTACTAAAGGGTTGCATCTATCACAAGGCAGCCAGCAGGTGGCTGTGGAAAGTACACAGAAACGTTTCTGGCACTCTTGGGTGGATTAATTTTTGTGCACTCCTAAATTAATTATAATAATAATAATAAATGATATTTATATAGCGCCTTTCAAGGGACCCAAGGTCGCTGTACATGGTGGACAAACAAAACAAACAGACAATCAAAGGGCAAACAAAAAATAGAGGAAGCCGGGGGACCAAGAAAGGACTAGGGCCCGAAGGCCAGGGTGAACAGGTGTGTTTTTAATGATGATTTGAAGATGTCCAGGGAGGCAGCATTACGGATCTCGGCAGGAAGTGCATTCCAGAGGGTGGGGGCCGCAACACTGAACGCCCTGTCGCCAACAGTTCGGAGGCGAGAGCGGGGGATGGAGAGCAGGCCCGTGTCTGAGGACCGCAGACTCCGAGAAGGGGTGTAGGGATGGAGGAGGTCCAATAAGTACTGGGGGGCGAGGGTATGGAGGGACTTGTACGTGAGGAGGAATCCAGGACTTGACCGGCAGCCAGTGTAGGCGGATGAGGGTGGGGGGTGCAATTATGACTGATTCACACCCTCGAGTGATTCCCTACATCTCCTGGTTGATCCCCACAATCTGTCAATGGCAAAGCAGTCCATTCCAACTTTACCGTGTGCAGCATTTCTCTCATGTACATATTCTTCCTAGTTCTGCTGAACATTTGTCAACGAACACGTACAAATCACCATACGTGGCAGTCATCTCATTTTCTCCTGAGCTGTAATCAGCACAGAAGATGCTAGAAGGTGAAAGAAATGAAAGCACTCAGCCATAATGGTTACACCTGCCATATGATTTCCCTTTTTTCTTTTTGGGAACGCATCTGGAACCCGAAGGGCTATCGCTGCCACTTTCAATAAACCCCCCTAAGTAAATGCGTTCCGTCCTGATGCCACAGCTCTGTGAACACAATGTGTAGTTAATGAGCTGCTAAATCAAGGTGCCGTTTTCTAATGGTTTTTTACATGCTTTCTAGGAAATAATATCATCCAAACCAAGGTCTATCTTTGTTTTGCACGGTCTGAATAAAATGTGCAGGGCGGCAGGTTTAGACCTGCATTTGCCTTATCTGCTAGTTCCAGCCCTTTGCCTTAATGTTGAGTTACTGTCAATAACATCTCCTTTTCATGTCTGTTGTCCTGAGGCGCAACTCTGACATTGATGTCCATGTCCTTCACCACAAAGAACTCTTCACAAGTCCGTACACGGCAAAAACATTTTCTGAAATGCTGAAAATTAAAGATTCAAGGCAGTACATTTGGACAAATATAATGCTTTCAATGCCATTATGTTCCCAATATTAGGTCATATGTGGCAGACTTCACAAAATAAAGCTAAAAGGTTAACATGGTGTACATTAGACGTTCTAAAATAATACAAAATGTATATCTATAATGTAAAATGTCCTAAAACTACTGTATATGAGTTTTTCTATATAGTTAAAACAAAAACCATAAAGTATTTGCAGCATCCAATCCTGACATTGCACCTCTTACAGAGAGACAATTACACATTCTTCCTTTCCTTTGTGTTCCCTCTGTGTCTTATTCCATGACCTTACCCTTTTCACTACTGAGGAAAACAAGCCTTTAAAAAGCAGCTGAGTGGCACATGGGACTCGTGAGACTAAGGTGGTGCAACAGCTCTCGTAAAATGGCACACACTACTCGAAGCAAAAGGTAGTTGTTGGAATTTGAACGGTTGTGGAGGGCTGTGGAGCTTTAACTGAAACATGAGTTACTGTCTGTCGTACCATGTTTCAAAGCTCTGACTGTAAGTTTGTTAACAATACAACAACAAAAACATACGACTGATGCAACATGCAGTTCGACAGGCCCCAATCACTGTTCTGCAATAGGACAGATCAGTGTGAGAACAGAAACTTATTTGAATTTTTTTTTCTTGTCCAATAAATTGCACTTTTTTCATCACAATGGGAGGTACCTCCAAGAATCAGTCATACAGGAAAGATAAAAAAAGATGATTACACGGTAGGACATTTTTTGAACCTTTAGAAGCAGGAAATATATGTACATAATATAAAGATGATATGGTCAATTCCCCAACTGGACTCAAACTGGAGATGCCATTGTGACATGCAGGATGTGTTTAGATACACATTTGTATTCTCCATAGTAGTTCAAAGAAATGTGATCGCGTGCCGACATGCCTCTAAACTCAAATTCAGTAAAAATTGGTTTTATCAGCCAAACTCCGTCTCAAAAATGCTTAATGCTTCAATTCAAGACCACATATAGAGCCGTGGAGAACTCTAATGAGCGCTGCCTTTTCCATTTAGAAAGGTTGGTCACATTTCCAAAACCGCTGCCCCCACTGAGGATATCTGTCTCTCTCCTCCAGCAATGTATCGAATAGGGCAGCCTCGTCTTCTCCACTCCTCGCCGTCATGAGAAGCTGTAATTCTCTCTCAGTATCCCCGGCACGATCTCTCCCTCACTCTCTCTCCTCCACAAAGAGCCAAGCTAAGGCAACTTGCATACAAAATAGCTGACTCAATCATCCAGCTGCATAATCAAGATAAGGGAGACGGGGACAGGGAAAGGGGGATACGGAGGCTAATGCGAGAGGCAGCTTTAGCAACAGCAGCAAAACTAAGATGTTTTGAAACAGTCATAACTCTACACAATAAAAGTTGGAGGAAGTGGTGATTCACATAGAGGCTAAGCCAAGCCTGATCTTCAGTATGAAATGACTGGAACAACGGGCAACCACTAACACAATGCCCAGAGTTCAGCAGCATAAAACTGATCGTCTAAGCTTTATTTCATAAATGCTTTCCTGGCTTTAAATGTCACGACGACGGTAACATATTATTTAGCCAGAACAGAGATCATACAGCACTCCTATGTCCATAGTGCAGCTGAGTGGAAAGCCAGAGAATTGTTCCTATAGGCATGTCATTTATTTGGCAAGTGTAGATTATTAAACTTGGCATTGTTTCAGACTACAGATCCCCCCCCCCCCCCCCCCCCTATTACCACCAGCACCTCCCCATCTTAGAGATGATTCAGGCAGACTTCTTTTAGCTGGCAAAAAATCTTTGGAAATTCTGAACTGAATACAAAAAGGGAGAAGAATCCATACGAAGCCTATCACATAAGCAATTCAAATAAATCAACATGTACAGTATGGCTAAAGTATGCATTTCCAAGACAGATGGCACAGGCGCAGCGAAATCCTCAGCTAATCTGAGTGAGACTGCTCAGGACTACTGTACAGTAAAGACTGTGTAAAGACAACACAATAGGGTCAAGGCCATGCACTGCCCTGAACGTTGACTATGTTTGAATTCATACTGTTGCCTTGGTTTTTTTTATGAACTCTTCCAAACTGAATAGGTTCCATTCTGTGGCAGAGAAGTGTTTTTCCTTTTAGTTATTTAATTAATAATAGTACAAAGTGAAGGCTAACCTTCACAACAACACGAGTTCTCCCTCAGGAGTGAATAGATATCCGTTTATTTGTGCGAATCTCTGGAATAAAGTTGAGTAAAGCGGCAGGGAGCTGTCCTTGGTGCTGAAGCGACCTCTCGCGCGGGCGGTGTTAGTGGAGGTTTACAGTTGCAAAGTACCTACTACTTTCCTTGGAGCCGTATCAGGTTGAAGCTAACGTTCGTGTCTTAATGTTCAGGAGCATGTAGTTACATGAGAATAACAAAACTTAATAACACATAATAATTTGCATTAAAAAGCGGAAGAAAGTGCACCCCATGTCCCGCAAATATCTCGCAGTGACAAATGCAAATTGCACAGACTTCTTCGTGATAGAGCAAGTTTAGATATGCATTCTGTACTGGGCGTATGTTATAATTAATAGAAAAGTTATGTTTCTTTTCTCGACACATCCGCACAAATACTATTCAATTTAAAACACCAATGTTCTTAACCGTATTTCATTTCAACCTCCAAATATTTACCGCGTGTGCAAATGCCATAAAGTACAGGATGTTGTCCTTAAAGTCTGCGATATTGAAGTGTAAAATGTAGCAACACTGAGACAGCTTACCTGCTTGACGATCGCGGAACGAGAGCTTCTTCTCGATACCAAGCTGGTAACTGTATGTCACCACGAACACAAGAGATTTTCAAAGAGACAGGAGATATTTCTGTTAGATAAATCAAAAAATAAAATTCAAAAAAGAATCCCAGTTCTCTGTTTAGGGGGGTTGAAGACGCACAGAACAGCAGCTGACTGCGTCAAGGGAGAGTCTCAAAGATCCATTTAGCGGTGAGTGATTTAATTCTGGGCTGAGCTCCTCTCACCGCTCGCCTTTATTTATGCTGAACAGACACGGAGTCCTGCCTGGCTTTTTCTATTACACCGAGAGCTGACACCGGCGTTTAAGCGGCAATCAAAGGAGGCGGGTAGGTAGGCAGATATCACTGTGTCAGTTGGGGAAACAGCGAGGAATAAGTGCTAGAGGAATGCGTGTCCTCCAGTCTAGGCGAGGCAAAGTTTAAATCTTATAATAAGATTGTTTTTCACCGCGAGGCTATAAATGGTGGCGGGATCATCACGGATGCCGGGAGGGTAATGGAAACTCCTCCGGTTGTGAAGTGAAAACGTCTGATAGCTCGTGTATTATAAAAAAAAAACTGAAAGGGTTCAACTTAATGAATACATACGGAGTGAAAAGTAACAGTTACGTCACGTGAGTTTCAGGATTCAACAGCCAATCTAAGATCAAACTTTTCCTCATTTTTTTCCTGGGCTGCACCTCCGCACTGGAAACAGTTTTGAATTGCTCATTTTCGGGTTGGAGGCTTGTTTAATTTGGTATTGCATTAAAGGAGATAATTTTCTCCATGCCAAGGTCCATTGGTCCTACCACCAGGGGGCCACTTAACCAAAAGAGGTGCTTAATATTTCAATTTAATAGTATTTTGTCTATGGGATCCCTGAGATTCCTGATAGCAAGAAATATTTACTTTGTCTGAAACATGGGGTCTTTCTATTATCCTCAATATCACTTATTTAATGTTGTGTTATATTCTCGCATCCATCTAAATCAGGGATGGGGAACCTCCGGCACCCGGGCCGTATACGGCCCGCGAGACCATTTGGCACGGCCCTCGAGGTGATTTATAAACACACGCAAAAAAGAAAAAAATGAAAGAAATCTAGACCGCAAAAAAATGAAACAAGCGAGTGCCTTTTTTTCCTGGCCAAGGTCAGGGTCCTTGAACACAACACGGGCCTAACGTGTCATCACGTGGTAATTATGTCTTGTCTGACAGAGGTGTAGTGCTGACGGAGAGCACCAGAACACCGCTCCGGCACTTCCAAAAATAGCAATAGCCTACCCATAAGGAGCCGTACACATGCCGCAGTTGTTGCGTGGCTGTGTCTTTCGTTGAAAGCCCAGTGGCGATCTGTTCATCTGTCATACTGATCATACAGTGAATAACTTAGTTGTTATTAGCATCTGGTTAGCTAGCTAACGAATATAAGAAGCTTTTTCTACAACCATCGAGGTAAAGGCACACCTTTATATGATCATTATAGTTATTATAAAAAAACAAGATAATAAAGTAAACTGGTATAAAATATTATATGACAGTAAAATAAAGTTGTTATTAATAAACAAGAATACAGTTTGAAAGGTGATTTGTAAAACATCCATAAAGAAAAATAAAACGGCTTACAGTTCTGTTTCATATGGGTGTTGGGAGATGTATCCATAGATCTCCTAATGTTGCTCTCAAAGTGCACCAGATTGATGCTTTTAACTTCAACATTAAAAAAAAAATCTTCCCGGGGGAGCATGCCCCCCGGACCCCCGTAGAGGAGGTTAGGTCCTCCCCCACTTAAATCATGTCCACATGGATAGGAAACTAAATACATTTGCTCACATCTTGTGTCCATATCTTTCTGTTTTGGTGGTCATGTCACAACCATGCACGTGCATGAATGCGCGAGTCATGGTAAGATATCTGGATTAAGAGGTTGCTTTTTCTTTGAACAGCATGAAAGAAAGGCCAAATGAATATGCTGTGATTTTAGTTTTTTTAAGCAGAGGTCAATAATTTGTACGGCCCTCGGAGGATGTTGAAAAAATTGAAATGGCCCTTGAGAGGGAAAAGGTTCCCCACCCCTGATCTAAATGAATAGGCTTGCCTGTGTGTTTGATAACAGCAAAGGCACACCGATGTAAATGGAAACTATTAAGCAGTTTTCCCAGAAAAGTCCAAACTGCTTCGTTTGTGATGGCAGTGGTCTGTACATTTCAGGATTAAATGGAACAGGGCGGGGGCTATTGAAGTAGACCATACTTCACTAAAGAGGTCAAGCCTGGGTCCCGGTGATAGTAAATCAATACACATCAATGATAAATTATTGAAAACAAGAACCTGCAGAATACAAATGAACCATCACCCATGCATTGTGATAAGGCATGGTGCCTGGACCGAAAAATGGGGTGAAATGAACATGTTTAGGTATTTGTATATATTTAATCTACCTTTGGCTCACATATTAACAAGTCCAAATGATGAAATACTGTATGGAGAAATAGAGCCTACATGAATAATGCCAGTGCAAAAAATATGACATTTCCCTGCTAACAAATAGCAGGAGTCCGTGCCTGAAGGGTTATAGCCACATTGCCTGTCCCTGTGTGAATGCAGTCCAAGATTTAATTTATGGAGAGTGCAACCTGATGTCCTCTGTAATGACGTAGTCTAGGGGATGACCCGAGCACGTCGGGGAGAGACAGTCAGGCTGCAGATGCTCTTCTCAGAGAGGGAGCAAGTGGCTGAGCGAGGACTTGGCAGAGACGCTGCACTGTCTTGTCTCATTGCAGCAGTCACGTCGGAGCTGTGAAATGTGGATGTCGACAGCCGAGCCCAGGAAGTCGTGGCAGCTGCAGCTCTGAGAATGAAAGGCACACTGTATCACGCTTCTTAATGTCCTCACGACCCCAGGGCAGGCTGATACATGACCCCATATAGACACTGTAGCCTTTTGGCCCTGTGCTGCCACTGCGAACCACCCTGACCACATAAAACAAATAAAGGTTTCAAGACATCAAGCCGAAACCTGGCAGATAAGCGCATGTCTCAGCCAAAGGTCTTGTTTTTCTTTTGAGCAGGTAAGCTACATGTATTCCTTCAAATGCCAATGTTTCTGCTTCAGTCCTAACATGCAACATATTTCTTAGGATAAATGCCAGGTGGCTCGGACTCAGACTGTTTTGTATTGCCTCTTTGTTTCCCTTTTTCAGACACAACATAAAGACTGTGCACCTTTCAGACTGCAGCAGATGGGGTGTTCTTGATGGGCTTTCCTAATGAACCTTCTCAGCTGAATTTACCTTGGAGGCATGATCGCTTAAACATCATTCAGGTATAAGCTCTGATTCCTATTGGATAGGACTGTCTCTCTTATCAACTAATGATTTATAATACACAGTGGAGGCTAAGTATATACATATCCATATGGCTCCTTGACACCCTGTGGCTGGGTTTGTCATACAATATTTGTGGTTCTTCAGAGAATAAGGTTTCCACAGTATTTAGATATAAAGCGATACATATTCCAATGGATATGGTTACATATGGGTGTCTCAACTGCATTTGAGTTAAATTGATGCTTTGTTTAAGCTTGAAGCTGCACATTATCTTCAACTTAATTGTCCTTTTTTAAAACCAGCAAGCACAACAATGAATCATGAATCATAGCCTTAAACATGCTTTGGCATTTCAACATATTATGAGCAATAATACAAATGCTATATGCACTTTAGGTTTCTTACACATTTTCTTTGTTCACATTTAATTAAGTTCAATGTGTAGCTATTACATTTTTGCTGAAACTCAACTGCACACGACATTTGAACTTAATCATAAGATTTAGTTTTATTCAATACAGAAAAAGAAGAAGGATCGCTAAGGAGCAAAGAACTTGAACAACCACAACCCTGCTCCTAAGTATTTCAAAGTAATGTATTTGACATGCTCCTTACTTAAGGCTTTTTATCTAAAATACAGAATTAGGAGAGGTAAAAATGGCAGCAAAACTTTTTTTGATATCAGGCGATTTGACATGTTTCGCATTGAATAGGGTGGTACATGCGTCATGTAAATGTTGAGCAAATGGATACAAAGAAAAGGATTACAATGTCACTAAATGAAGTCTAGGCAGAAGAAAAGGAGGCAGATTGGTGGAATGTATTATTCAAATCCTTCATTTACTGGCTAAGCCAATTTGGTGCTGAGGCAAGTAACAGGGATGGCAATAATTCAGGGGAGGAGGCTGTGACTGCTGGTTGATATAATGGAATGTCTGCTGTCAGAGGAGTGCAGGAGATCCATCTAACTGGCTGAGCAGTGGGCCGACATATACAGCTGCTTCACCGATGATAATGTTGTGTGGGAGAAATAGGAGGCTGCACTCCAAGGTGCTTTTTGACGTTTAACAGCCCTGCTTACATATCTTCTTATTGTCCTCACAGCAACATACAAACACAGCAGACAGATGGAATGTTGCACCTTGCAAAGGTATGAAGTGATTAGACATGCAATGGTAATAATGTCTTCGCCATGTCAATTGAACAGCTTACCGAAGGCCAAAATTGGTAGCCATGTACCTATAATCTACATAGATAAATTGTATTTTAACTATTTTCTTGAAATGGTACAAAGGCATACATGTATTCAAATATTGATATGAATATTAACAGTGTGGAAGGAAGTATTCTGAACCTCTATTTAAAGGTGGGGTAGGTAATTTTGGAGAAACCAGCTGGAGTGCGCTAGAATTTGAAAATACACAACCGGAGAAAATCTGCCACTTCCTTACAGAGCCCCTCCTCCAACACACACGAACGCGCACATGACCAATGAGGGCACGAGATAAGTTTGTGCACAGATGGAAGGCTGACAGGCAGGTAGGCCACCCAGTTATTTTAGCTGGGCCGGCTGAAATGATTGGTCGTGCTTTTTACAGTTCTACTGCTTCCACAGATGACATTTTTGTATGGATTTTTTTGTCAAAGCACTTCAGATATTCATTGCTATCGGGATGTTTAGAAAATTCCATGGAATATAACAACAAGTGTATCTCAAGCCGGTTTCTCAAACTTACCTACCCCACCTTTAAAGGGGCCCTACTGTTATTTTTTGGGGGGGGTTTCCCTTTCCAGTTAGTGTGTTATATAGGTTGTTGTGCATGTAAATGGTCTCCAACACACTCAAACGACTCGATTGTAGTCCTTTGTTTACTTCCATAACATAGTGACATCACTATGTTACACTCTCACTTCTTTTGGCTAGCGCTCCAATACATTATATGTGATGGGCCAAGGGGTGGGAACTCTCTAATGGCGCATTT